TGGAGATCTGGAGAGAACCAAAGTTCCTTATTGATGCCAGAGTGTGGCAAAAGAAGAGATGCTACAAATGCCCGCCAGGAACGAAGCTACATTAGAGAATGTAGCTTCCCGCGAGCCCCCTCGTCGCCCCCGCAAGATCTAAAGAGCCTAACTAGACCCACAAACCAAAAGAGAGAGAACATACCCAACCAAGAGAGAGAGAGAGAACCTCTTCACAGTAGCAAGAATGCTGGCTGGAAACCCAATAGAGATCTCGAAGAACAAGCATCGGCTATGAAGCGATCGATCCCTCCGCCCTCTTGATCCGAAAGTCTTTTATGACGAACACACCAAAGACGAGTTTTCTTTCTTTTCTTTCTTGCTGCCACTGCTGCTGCTGCTGCTGCTGCTGATACTGCTGCTGCCGAGCTGATAGATTGACCGAGAAGATCGAGAGAATAGAGAGAGGAGAGAGCGCGACGAGAACAATTTTTTTTTCTTTTCCACTTTCATTTCAAAGAGAGACCTCGAACGAACGAACGAGCGACGAAGGAAGAATGATCATGATCATCAGTAAGTGTGGTATGGATCCTGCGTGAGCAATTGCCGGGTCGCGTGCTCCAAGCGGCTGCCAAGATCCAGGACTTGCTGCTGCTGCTCCAGGCTGAGATCGTCCACCTCGAGGCCGCCGCCACCAAACGACTTGGTCAGGCGCGCGGCCTCCGCCACCGCCAGCAACACCACCACCAACATCACCACCGCGAGCACCTTGTTCAGCACCTTCCCGGCCTCCATTTCTCCGCTTCCTGGATGATGGGCGATTCGATCTGCTCTGGAAAAGAGGGGAGAGAGAGCTCTCGAGCTCCAAACACCTGTGAGAGTGAGAGAGAGATCTAGCTCGCTCGAAGAACAAAAGTGAGAGAGAAAGAGATCGTCTTCTTCTTCGCTTGCTTCCCTGATTTGCTTTGCTCGCTTTGATCCTTCACTCTAGCTAGAACTTTGGCGTGGTGCGCGCGAGCTCTCGAGCTCTCGAGCTCTTTTCTTTCAGAGGGTTAAAGCTATGGTGGTATTAAAGCCAGAGGAGAATGGAGAAAAAGCAGCGAGTCCAGCGAGGAAGGGTGGTCGCTTTGTGTGTTTTTGTGGCCATTAAACGCGTCGTCGCGTGGTGTCGGTCACCGCGGCGCCGGTCGCACGGCAGCCGCGGCGTACGGAAGACGCGGCAAAACCAGAGGAATCCGAGGCGAATATGCCTGGCATGATTCTCTTCAGAGCATAGGATGCTTGCTCTGACCCCGTGTGTTTGTGTTTTTCCTGTGCATGATTGCGTAATTGATCCGTTCATGGGTAGGGAGGGCTTTCTTGTTTCGCCACCTTTTCTCGCGTCATGAAACATTGTTGTAATCATAGGGATCACGCTATGATGTGAATGGTTTGTTTTTTTTCGCGCCAAGCAAACGTGAGCGAGTGGATCACGCGTGTTCGATCGCGGTGACTTTTGGAACCCTTCCCATGCAACTTCTCGCGAGTGGCGTTGTTTTGATTGTTTCAATCAGCCGGGAAAAGAACCTTGACTTGATCCAACTCTCGTGCACGTTGTTTCACGAGATCGCGGTTTCCGGAGATCTTCTTGTTTACCATTTCCCTTCGCGAACTTCTAGAAGCCACCTGGCCAAGTTTCTAATTCTATATCGTGGGATCCCCCGGGGCAACAGTTGGCTCTTGCCGATCAATCGCACTAGCAATAGCATCAACAAAAGAAGAACATTTCTAAACAAAAACAAAAACCGGGCGCTCCAGCTACTTCTTAATGGCCTTTGTGGTTGTCAGCCACCATTCCTTGAGGAATTGGCCCGGCCTCTTTTTTTTTCGATGCTCGACAACTTTGGCAGCGTGTACGGAGGAACATGACGCCGCGCGGTGTACGGCAAACCGCAGTGCGGTCACTGTGCCGTCCGCCCGCCGGACGCACACCTAGCCGGTCGCAGGGAATGGCCATCACCGCCAGCTGGCGAGCAGCAGGCCTTTAACTTTCGGCAGTGTACGGCCAAAACACTATTAAGTGGCGCACAGCTGGCGGGCAGACAGTTGGCATCGTTAAGTCGAAACTGGGCCGGTGACGTGGCCTTTGCGTGCGTGGGTTCGAATCCCTAGACGTTTATTAGGGCTTATGGTTATTGTCCGCCACCTTTGAGCGAGGCAATCAGTTTCTTCACGCGGGCGACGTCGTCCCATCGGTTCAGCGTCGCGTACATGTTTGACAGGGAAATGTATGGACCGGCATTGCCGGGTTCTCGATCGATTGCTTTGGCTGCTACTCGCTCGGCGCGATCTACGTCCTTGTGGTTGCAAGATGCCCCGAGGAGGGATGTCCATGCCACGGCGAACGGGTGAAAGGGCAGGGTTTCGATCAGGGCCTCGGCTTCTTGCAGCCATCCTGCTTTGGCGAGCATGTCAATAAGGCTACCGTAGTGTTCTTCCTTGGGCTGGATGTTATGGTCGGATACCATGGAATTGTAGTAGTATATGCCATCCTCGACCAGGCCGGCGTGTGTGCACGCCGTGAGGACTCCCAAAAGTGTTACCTGGTTGGGCTTGGTGCCTTCCAAGTCCATCTTTTGGTAGAGCTCGAGGGCTTCGGTGCTATGCCCCTGTTGAGCATACCCTGCAATGGTGCAAGTCCAGGAGATCTGGTTTGGAGTGGGCATTCTGTGAAAGAGGGCGATAGCGTCTTGCATGCTCCCACATTTGGTGTAAAGATTCAAGAGAGCGTTGCAGAGAGAAGTGTCTTGTTCGTCAAATCCAAGCGATGCGGCACGCAAGTGGATGAACTTTCCATCTTGCAGTGATCCGATCGATCCCAATGCCTCGAGCAAAACCATAAAGGTGACGCCGTCGGGCTTGATGCCCTCGAGATCCATTTGGTGGAATAGCTCGATCGCGGCGTTGCTATCTCCAGCCTGGGCATACGCCGTGATCATTGTGTTCCAGGCAATCACACCCGGACTCGAGAGCTTTTCGAAAGTTTCCAAAGCTTTTGCAACGCTACCACACTTGGCATACATGTTTATCAAGCTGTTGCTCACGAGAGCGTCAACCTTTACAGACGATTCAAGGATTTTCTCGTGAATCAAAACTCCTCGATCGAGATCGCCCACATTCGCGCAAGCCTCGAGGGCACTCAAGAAGACCGGCGTGTCGAGATCCAAAGGTGGCGACGACGATCCAATAGCCTCAAAGAAGAGCTCCAATGCCTCCTTGCTATGCCCATTCTGGGCATATGCCGAGATCATAGCCGTCCACGTCACCCTCGTTCTTCGTTCCATGGCATCAAACACACGGCGCGCCATGGCGGCGCTCCGGCACCGCCCGTACAGGCTAACCAGCGCGTTCCGTACGGCGATATCGCCCTCGAATCCAGCCGCGGCGGCGCGCTCCTGGACGAATTTGCCGCGATCGATCGACTGAATGCCGGCGATCGCGTTGAGAAATGTGATCCTGTTGTGCCGGACGCCATCCAGATCCATCGCGCGAAAGAGGAACAGCACCAAATCCTCGCGCCCGAGCCGGGCGTAAGCGCCAATCATCGCGTTCCAGGAGACGAGGGTCTTCTCCTCCATGGCGTCGAAGATGGATCGCGCCAGCTCCAGCGCGCCCAATCGCGCGAAGGAATCGAGCATCACGTTGTCGAGGACGAGATCGCGGGCGCTGCTGGCGGTGGCCCTGGCGTGGATCGAGCGGAGGAGGGGAAGATCCGCGGTCCCAGCCGCGGCGATGGCGACGAAAGTGGATCCATTCGGCTTGACGCCCTCGTGATCCATTCTTCGCAGGAGATGGATCGCTTGCGCCAGATGCCCGTTCTGGGCATATGCTGCGAGCATGATTGTCCAGCTAAAGACGTTGCGATGCGCGATCCCATCGAAGACCAGGCGCGCTTCCTCGAGGCTGGAGCACTTGCCATACATCTCCACCAGGAGATTGAGAAGGAATGTGTCACTGGAGGAATGCGTGGAGATCAGGGACGAGGAGGAGGTGATGTGGGCGTGAATCCGGCGCCCCTGCTCGATCGCCCTGGCATTGCTGCAGCGCTTGACGATCCAGGCACACACCCCCCTGTCGCTGCTGGAATCGAGGCGCTGGATGTCCTCGTCGATTCGATCCAGGCAGCGCCGGCTCAAGACGTGCTCATCGCTCTTGAGCATCGCCCTCAATGATCCAGAGCGCTAGAGATTGCACTAGACATGCTTGATCGCACGGAAGATCTCCATGCCAGCGTCGAGCGATGGCTGGATTTGCCAAGAACATAGCTTCCATTGTCAAACTATGACAAGTGATCCATGGATGGCTACTTGCGGGAGATCCAAGGCTGTGCCTCGCTCGATCGCGCGAGAGATCTCCACGCCAGCGTCGACCGCTCGCTGCGATCTGGGGATATCTTCCTCGGCAACAAGATCATCGAGATGTATGGACGCTGCGGCAGTCCCGGCGATGCCAGCAGCGCCTTTCGATCCATGCCGGTTTGGGATTCCTTCACTTGGAATCTCTTGCTTGGTTCTCATTGCAAGAATCGCGATTTGGAGGGCGCTCGAGATGTTTTCGATGGCATGCCCAGCGCGGCCAAGGACATGGTGTCGTGGAACACGATTTTTTCTGCATATGCCCGCTCGGGGCAACTGTCGGTGTGTCGGGAGATATTTGGAAAAATGCCGGGAAGAGATCTTGTGTCGTGGAACACAATGATTGCTGTCTCTACGCAAGCGGAAACTACGGACCATGCAAAGGGAATCTTTGATGAGATGAAAGAGAAGAACTTGGTGTCTTGGAACTCTCTTCTTGCGGTATATGCCCGAGCGAGGCATTGGCAAAACGCTAAGGCGGTCTTTTTGGCAATGCCGCTGCGGGATTTAGTCGCCTGGAACTCATTGCTGGCTGCGAGCAAAGATCTCAAGGATGGAGTTCATGTTTTCTTGCATGAAATGCCGGAGTATGATCAAATCTCTTCGAACGCAATGCTAGATGTTTATGCTTCTAATGGGCATGTTGAAGAGGCCAGGGAGTTTTTTACTGCGATGCCTTCTCGAGACGTGGTGTCTTACACGACACTTCTTTCGCTAAATGCCGAGGCTGGGGATATAGAATTTGTGGAAAAGACTTTTGCCGTCATGCCAGAGTATAATTCTGCTTCCATGAACGCTATGACTCGTGTGTATGCGCGAAGTGGTCATGTAGATGAAGCCAGGAAGGTTTTTGATGAGAACCAATCAATAAACTTGATCTCCTGGAACACGCTTCTCACGGCATATGCCCAAAAAGGGTATACTTCGGAAGCAGAGAGCATCTTCAAAGAGATGCCGAAGAGAAATCTGGTGTCTTGGAACGCAATGCTTGCGGGATATGCCCACTTTGGGTATGTCAAAGAAGCAAAGCTCTTATTCGATGATTTTCCAAAGCGGGACTTGGTAACCTGGAACATTATGCTTTCTGCTTTTGCACAAAGCGGGTATTTGGAGGAATCAAAAAAAGTATTTGATGAGATGCCACAGCAAAACGTGGTGTCCTTGACGACACTGCTGGGACTCTATGCCCAACAAGGACGCATGCAAGATGTTAAGACATTGTTTGAAAAGGTGGTGGAGTGGGATCTTGTTTCATGGACGTGCATGTTGATCATTTTAGCCGAGAACGGCGAGCTAGACGAGGCAAAGAAACTGTTTGATAGGTTGCGCGAACGGGATTTAGTGTGTTGGAACGCCATCCTTCGTGCCTACTCTCGCCATGGCCAGGTGTTAGAGGTGGAAAAGATTTTCCAGCAAATGCCACAAAAGGATCTCACGTCTTGGAATGCGGTTCTAGCTGCGTACTCTCAAACTGGAGGTTTTGAAAAAACCGAGAGGATGTTTGGACAGATGCCTCAGTGGGATGTTCTAAGCTGGAACTCACGCATGGATGCTTTCGTCCAAGGTGGTCATTTAAAGAAGTCGGAAGAAATCTTTGATCTGATGCCAGAGAAAGATCAGTTTTCGTGGAATCTCATCCTCGCCGTGTGGATTAAGCTCCATGGTTTGGAGAAAGCGAAACACGTATTTGATTCAATGCCTTTTAGAAATGTTGCCTCGGGAACGATGATGATATCTGCATATGCCCACGATGGGCATCTTGATCAATCACTCGTGATGCTCAGCGTCATGCCTCAAAGGAACGCCTTCACGTGGAATGTGATGCTAGGAGCTTATACTCAGAATGGGAATATGCTCGCTGGAGAAGCACTTTTTGAGACACTGCCGGAGGAGAACTTAGTGTCATGGGGTGTTCTTCTCGCTGGTTACACCAACAGTGGCAACCATGCAACAAGCTTGGATGTATTAAATCGCTTGAAGATGATCCATGTTCCGGAAGAGACGTGTTTCGTCACAGCTTTGATCTCGTGTAGCTACCTAGGAAGGATTGAAGAGAGCAAATCGTGCTTCCTGTCCATGACGCTCGATTATCACATCAATCCCAGCAAGCAGCACTACTGCTGTATCGTAAGCGTCCTCTGCCGCTCGGGGCATCTGAATGATGCTGTGGAGCTTGTCTCGAGCATGCCTTTCCATCCCGATAGGATGGAGTGGACGTGCTTGCTGGGAGCTTGCAAGAACTTTAATGATCTTGCTAGGGGAGCTAAAGTTACTAGCCAAGTTCTTGCACTTGATCCAGGTCGTGAGACATCATATGTGCTGCTCGCAAACATATTTGAATCGTCTTTGAAACCGATGATCACTGACCGAGCTAGAGCTCGACCATAGATGAGGTTTTTATAAGCATTGGACTTAGCTTCGTTGGACGGAGGTATAGCAACGACCTTTGAACCGTGGTCTATGTGACGTCTGATTTTACTGATACCATTGATTTTTTTCTTCCAGGTAAGAACTAGAAGGATTTCACGAAGCAACTGATATACTATATGAATCTCATGAGTTGGGATTTTATGGAGGGATCCACAGGACCATCCTTTTAAAAAGAGATCAAGCTAGGAGTTGACTGGAGAACAATTCTATGCTGGAAACGCCATGGCGTTTGCAGCGTCGGCTCCAGCAGTGTCATCGAGACGGCACTACAACCAAGGCCTTGATTCTGCTCGCTGCATAGTTCGATCCAGGATATCATTTCTCAAGCTTCGCCGAGTGAATGCTATAGCTCTGGAAGCAGCAGTGAAAGAAGATCCGGAGCAGTTGTCCCCATTGATAACACCAGTAAGTCTCTTGGATTCACATTGAGCTCTCATTTTCCTTGTCTTTGCAGAAACGAACTACAGACTTTCAAACACTCTTTCGGAGATTTTGCAAAGTTGCTCAACCTTACTGGCTCGACTCCAAGGAGGGAAACCAGGCAATCCTCCGGTTAGCGAGTGTTTTTGCTCTTACGCTTGCTTCCACGGGGACGAGCGTGGCATTTAGCTACCTTGGAAGGAGTTTTGACAACGCTTTGACAAGTAAGTGTGTCCAGATCTATCAGATTTCTTTAAACTTTTCTCCAGGTAAGAATCGAGAGGAGTTTGTCAAGCAGCTGATCTATTATTTGGGGCTTATGGTCGCAGCACTTCCAGTAAGTCGTTTGAATGTTTGTGCCTTTTTCAGCGTGTAGTTAACTCGCTTGTCTTCGAGGTTTATGTAATCCGCGGATACGCACGAGACACTCTTGCTCTTCGATGGCGATCTTGGATGACGAAACGCTACATGGCTCAGTATTTTTCTCAGAGATCCTACTATAACATTCAATCTCTGGCACTCATGGACAATCCAGATCAGAGAGTTGTGGACGATATCGGCTCGTTCACTCGCACGGCACTTATATTTACCATGACTTTGTTCCATTCCATCACCGATCTGGCGTCTTTCAGCGGAATTCTATACAGGATTTATCCACCACTGTTTGGTGTCTTGCTTGTTTACTCCATTGGTGGCACTGGAATTAGTTTCCTACTTGGAAAGGTATGATTTTCATCTTTTTGTTTTCAGCGAGTTCGTTCTGTTTCCTTGCAGGATCTCATGAACTTGAATTTCGTCCAAGAAAAGAGTGAGGCAGATTTTCGATTTGGATTGGTAAGAGTTCGAGAAAATGCAGAGTCCATCGCGTTTTATGGGGGAGAAAAGGATGAGCTTCAGTTGCTGCTGGAACGTTTTAAGCAAGCTTTTTCCAACTACAGTGTAAGTTTTGCTGGTTTTTCCATTGTCATTCTTTCGACAGTGTAAGCTACTGCATTGTCTTTGCAGAAACTACTCATAGCTTCGCGAAACCTAAGATTTTTCCAAATTTTTTACACCAACTTGATCCAAATCCTGCCCGCCGCCGTGGTGGCTCCGTTCTACTTTGCTGGAAAAGTCGACTTTGGGATCGTCAGTCAGTCTTTCCATGCTTTCAGCTCCGTTCTCTACGACCTCTCCTTGGTCGTGGAGGAGTTTCAATCGCTTAGTTCCTTCTCCGCGGTTGTAGATCGCCTTGGTACAATTTCCTTCGTTTGCTTGGTTCTCTTCGACCTACCTTTACATTCACAGGTGAATTCAGTGACATATTGGATCAACAAGGCGTAATGAATGCTTCGGAGCTAAGCACCATCAAATCGATCGAGACCACGGAAAGCGAGGTTCTTATAGAAGTTTCGACCTTGACACTGTTGTCTCCTCAACACACACTGACTCTTGTCGAGGGGCTCTCTTTCAGGATGATCGCTGGACAAAATCTTCTGGTCTGTGAATTTCTCAAAGTTTCTTCGTTGCTATCAGATGAATAACTCGGGTTTAAGACCAGGTAACTGGCCCCAGTGGAAGTGGCAAGACATCGTTCTTAAGAGCTATCGCAGGACTATGGAAATCCGGGCAAGGAACCATAGCAAGAAACTCTACCATGGATGTATTCTTCGTGCCGCAAAAGCCATACATGACTCTTGGAACACTCCGGCAACAATTGCTATATCCAACTTGGAGCACAGACGAGGAGAAAAAACACGATCAAGGTAGCGAGAATTTTTGGTCTTTTACACGTGAATCTATCACAAGTGTGCTCTCATGATCCAGAATCCAAGCACAGCGATGCCGACTTGATGGAAATCTTGCGTAGAGTGAAGCTTGAACAGCTCCTGGAACGCTCGTTTCACTTGGACGCGAATGCCGACTGGTCCAGTGTCTTGTCACTGGGAGAGCAACAGCGCCTGGCTTTTGCTCGATTGCTTCTATCAAAACCAAAGCTTGCGCTCCTGGATGAAGCAACCAGTGCCATAGACGAAGCAACTGAGGTAAAAGCTTGTCTCTTTGGTTCTCTTCTAAGATCTAGTCACTCTACGCAGGCTTACTTGTATCGACTTCTCCTAGAATCGGGAACTTGTGTGATGAGCGTTGGGCATCGCAGCACGCTTCGCGAATTCCACACACACTTGCTTTTCTTTTCCCCGCAAATCTCCGGGACGAGTATCTCGGAGTGGTCATTACAAGACCTTCCTCAAAGAACCAACTTTTAGTAGCAATAGTTCTTCGTCCATTGAAGTGAATAAGTGGAAGACTGGCCATGGTGTTAGCCAATACTTTAGGCCAATGGTTGGTTATGGCGTGCAATGTGAACAATTTCGCGCACCACATCACCTCACCATGACCTCAAGGTCATGGGACCAACCATGCACCTCATGGATGACTCATGGATGTAGTCATACATGCATTTGGATGACCCATCGACCTCATCCTCTTGAATCTGCTACCACACAATGGAGGTTTGCATAGCAGCAGCGGCAGACTTGGTATGCATTGGCTTTCAGCACTCAATGGAGGCACCTCAGAAATGATAAGTTTTACTTAGAGGTATACTGATGCTTTAGTCTAGGTGTTCACAATATGGGCAATCTTTACTGTTGAAAAGCTCATCACATGCATGGAGTTTGATCTAGAGTTTTCTCCCATTATGTGGGAGTAATTGCAAGAAACAATAAATTATAAGGTAAATATGCACATTTTTATATTTTATTTCCATATTCCATTCATTTATATTAGTGGTAATTTTGATTGTCCCTGCAAAATGTTTGGATTTGTGCTTTTGGTTTAGATTTAACTTTTATATTATCTAGATCTCTCTTTTCTTGTAGCTTTTTCAAATTTTTTTTCTTTTTTGGCAAAGAACCAACCTCCTCTTACTGACAAAATGGCTTACAAAATTCCATAACTTCATAACTGCAAACAGGTTTTCAGAGGCCTATACTTGTTGAAATAACATCCTAGAAGCTATTTGAGGATACAGCTTATTAGATTGATTCAATATTCCATAGATTCGCATAAATACAAAAGGACTCACTTCCTTTCCCCAAAGGAAATCTGAGAAAATGCAACTTGTAATGCATCCAATTGTGTTTTGTGATTTGGGGACTGATGCTTATTTGGGGCCTTTGAGTCTTCATACTTTGGCACTTTGTCAGAGTTAAAATCTTCTTGAGCTGTGACATAGCCTTCCTCACCGTTGGACAGCCGCATGCCATTTGCTAAAAGGACCTACCACCCCACTCTTGCAGCCAAAGCTGAGCTTCATTGGAGTTAAAGCCCCTCTAATGGGCTTTACCTGCTTCAATCTAAGGGGTAGACAATGAGAGATTCCAAAAACTTTACGTAGTGCCCAGCAAACGGCAGATAAAGGGAAAGTTTGACCTATACTTATTTAAACCCTAAAATTTTTCAATGCCTAAAGAATCATGTTTAGATAACTTGGACATCATTCACACGAACAGATTTGAAGGGACCCAAGCTCACTCCTTGTTACCATGAATAACAAAATTTATATGAAATGGAAGCATGGAAGCATAAGTAAGACTATAACTATCTTTATCTAGACTTAGTTACTTATGTATATTGTCTCATTTCCATATTGCACACAACACTCAAAGGAAACTCTGATCAAGATGGTAAGAATATATATAAGTGGAAAGGAAGATCTCAAAAGATGTTAGAACAAATGTAGTGGAAGGAAATACGACTGGACTTAATCTCAAACTTCATAACTCACTAGATTTCAAAAAGAAACTCCTTCACTGCAAAGGTGGATCTCAGGCTATTACTATCTAAAAGATCTACTATTGCTTTCTAGTAATAGAAGGTCTTAACTAGTGCTCTTGCAAGTAGTCTAGAAATCATAGTTTTGGGAATGAATATAATCTCATGAAGGGTTTTGCAACAAAAGAATTGGAAAAAAGTGTAAGGGATATGCGGGATTGTAGTATATATGTGCAAGAATGGATGAAGAAGCACTTTAGTGGCTTTCCTAAAGTCATGAACAGCTTGAATGGATGGAGGTGATATGCCAATAATGCCCATATCTGACCATCCATGCACATTGCATCAAAATGTAAAAATATTGATTATCTAGGTTTAACCCTGTAAAAATGCATAATTTTGGATTATTATTATGTGCTACTCAAAACAAGGAAGGAATTAGCATAGGAATCATACTACATATCTTTGGCAAAGTAAAACTTTAAACTCTGCATAAAAAAGGTCTAAGGGTATCCTTGCAACAATGTTTTGACTATACTGTGAAACCAATAAATATATTAAAGAAAAAAATAGTATCATTACCCAAGTTCCCGCTCCATAGGTTAAAATAAACTAGTAAGAACAGAAGAAGCTCTAATATATTCACCATTTTAAAATGCTTAAACCATATAAACGTTCTAAATTGCAACCCAATGTGCAAGGTCCTTAGCAATATAAAATGTAAATATGCATCTCAAGCTCTGTATGTGCTATATATTAGACATATCTAAAATGTCAATGTCCTCCATTAACTCAAATAACTACCTATAAAACCATATCACTCTCTTGTAAAGCTCTTTCTAGAGACTAGAGATACTCAATAAAACACAAAAAAATTAAAACTTTAGACTGCATATTTATATCTGGTTTCATATTGGCCAGCTTGAGAGGCTTATTCTATTTATATCCCTTTCCACATTATTAGCTTTTAGTATGTGATCATTCTTAATTTATTTTTGTCAATCAAATTTACAAA